ACACACACACACACACACACACACACACACACACACACACACACACACACACACACACACACACACACACACACTGTGATGACTGACCCATGAGCACAGGTGCCGCAGCATCCCCTTAGCAGCAGTGATAGCCAACCTAGGGAGGGCAGACCTCACCCCCACCTTAGTTCAGGAGGCAGGTCCCACCACCACTCTCAGATTCCATTCTCTCAGCGGGTCAAAGGTAAAACACTTTTTACCTCTTTCCGCCACAAGAGTGCTCACCGAGCAGCTTCCAGGATATGCCAATGTGGTCCAGAGCATTTTTGAGAAATTATGTATTCTTTTAGCTCCTGAAGGCTTTAGCTTTACCTGCCTATGTGGTTAGCTTGTCCGCCTCCCCTCCACCCTGTCCTGTGCCTTGCTGCCTCCTCACCCATGGCCACCCTTGGCAGAGGAAAGGCCACAAGCCCAGTGAGGAGGCGGCAGCCTGCCCCGCCACCCTGGGAACCAAGGAGGCAGAGCCCCACCGCCTGCCTAGAGGCTGGGGCAGGCCTCAGCTTGCTAGGCCCAGCAAACCCTCTCTGAGTTCAGTGCTGATTCCAGTTTTTCTTGTTTGGAGGGGCTGATCCTTAGCTTCCCTCTTTGCCCCCCAGAGTAGGTCCCAGGATGCGTGGGGGAGGGGTGACCCTCCTGCCCTCCCTTCTCCCTCTGCCTCCTGCTGGGCCATCCCTGCAGGGGCTTCCAAAGCTATCCTCGCGGAAGGGTGCCCCTCCTGGGCACACTCTGAGGTCCAGGGTGGGCTGTGTTGGGGACAACACGAATTCAATCACACCAGGCCCCAGGAAAAGGAATGGGGAAGGTGAGGTCCCCACTATGACCCAAAGTAGACTGTGTGGCCTGCTAGGGGGTGCAGAGCCCTTGGGACAGAGGGGGGTTAACCTGCCAAGTGTGTTCTGTGCCCAATCAGAGTTCACCCCAAGGGTCAGCCACTTCTGGACATCCACTGCTTCCTGCAGGGTTCCCCTCCTGACTTTCACCTTTATGAAGAACCACTCCAAAAGCCCTGGCATTGAATGCACTCCAAGTATTTACTGGATGCCTACTGTATACCAGGGCCTGTGCTAAAGATCAGGGCACTCACTAGGAACAAGCAGGCTCTGCTCCTGCCCTTGGAGAACCCACAGTCTCTAAGCCTCAAGCTATGGTGTCAAGGTGACAAGCGCAATAGGGGGATAGGTCCATCAGGGAAGGCTCCCTGGAGGCTGCAGCTTTGACCCAGCACTTGGTGACGGCAGACCCACCTGGAGCCCGTCCCAAGATCCCTGAATGCTTCTGCCTTGCACAGATCTCCCCATGACAGATAGTGCCTGACTGCAGGGACCTCTCTACTTCTCCCAGCTACTCTTGATCCCTGTGTCCCCTGACAACACAGTTCAGGGGAGACAGCCTTCAGGAAAGGAACAAGGGTACAAGGGGGAGAGAAAGAGGCCACTCCTTTGCCACCAGATGCTTCCTGATGGTTTAGTGCTGTCACGATGGATGTCACCCTTATCTCTTGGATCTCCTGGGAATCTGTGAGCACAGGGTTTGGCCCCAACACCTGCGGATGATGAGCCATTGGGACTGGTGAGGAGTGTCTGCCCCTCCCAGGTCTCCCGCCCCCTCCTTCCCAGGCAGGAACCTGCCAGGCCTCCTCCAAGAGCTGTTGATTTCACAAGAGGGGAGGGGGGCCCCTCACGGTGAAGGTCAAGGGGGAGCAGAAGTCCTGACTTAGCTTAGCAAAGAGGCCTCTCCTTCCGGGGCATCCACAGGCCTTTGGCAGACCTGGGGCAGAGTCCTTGCTGGATAGACTCTCAACTGTTCCTTTTCTATGCTGATGGGTAGAGAAAGCCCCTTTTTCTCTTCAAATAAAACTGAGCCACCAGCACCTTGAAAAAAAAGATATATTCTTTTTTTTCTTCCTCCTCCTCCTCCTCCTCTTCCTCCTCCTCCTCCTTCTTCTTTTTATACAGTGCTGAGGATTGAACCCAGGGCCTCAAGCTCTGTTTCACTGAGTTATACCCCCAGCCTGAAAGATCTTTCTAGATAATGTGAAAGACGCCTGCTCTCATCTCACTCAACATCCCCACCTCCCCCTCCCCTTCCCCACCCATACCCCTCTGTGTGGATGGAGCATTTGACGTAAACTGAGACATAGGAAAGATACCAATTCACTATCAAAGCATCCTAGCCCCATCCCAGAGCAATTAAAAAGCCAGATGGAATCTCTGGGAAAACGGCATTAATAACACGAACAATCTGTGCAGGCCGGCAGGAACCCAGGAGCCTCAGGCAGGGGTGGGACTTTGTGGGGGGGAAGGCTGGGGTGCCGGAGTGTGAGCTTGCAGCAACATCTCAGCCATGTGGTGGCCAGCCAGGGATGGGGCCATCAAAAGGGTATGCTAGGTCTGGCTACAGCTGGGCTGTCCCCTCCGGCCCTTGCCAGGCCCACAGTGCACCCGGGATCTTGGTGGCTGCAGACAGAGCCAGACAAATGTGGAACCCATTACTCAGACAGCCATGGCCCCGGCCAGCCCTGCTCTGGCGCTCCAGAGCTTTGCTTCTCTTCACTTTTATTTTTATTTATTATTTTTCTAGCTTTCTGGCCCCACCTACTAAGAACAGGCCTCCCTGGGGGTATGGCTTCCAAAGACTCCTTTTCTCTTCATTTGCCATGCCTGCATCCACTAACTGTGCCTCACAATAGCAAACGATGGTGCTGGAGGACCCCACTGGGGCCTGAGCCCCAGGAGCTCCCCTTGTAATGCAAAGCGGCAGGAACTCCAGGCAAGACCAACTGAACCCTTAGAAGCAGGCACGGTGGGAACAAACAGGCTGGGGGAACAGGACACAGGGGTCCACATCACCTGATTGCCTTGAGGGCCCAGAAAGGGATGGGCAAGGACCTCAGGACCACTGTGAAGTTCTGAACCATGGCTAGGCAGAGCTAGACTCTTCTATAGTAGTCCCGTTTTTCGAAGCATGGGCTGCAGGCCCATCTGAGAGGAACTTGAAGATGGGATTTTCTTACACTTACAGGTTAAGATGGGAATGTCCTTGTCTAAGAAATAGCCTCTGTGATCCTCAGTTAGAGGTCCATTTTCTGACCTTCATCCTTACTGCCTGCTATTCCTCATCCTCCCAGGAAACCGACCTCCCCAAGATCACCACTAGCTCCTAGAGCTCCTCTGGGGTCCTTCCTGCTTTCTTGGCTTCCCGCTGAACTTGGCTCCAACAGACATCCCACGTCTGGCCCAGGGCAGGTCTTTGACACATGTGTTTGAAAGCAAAGATCTCTGCTCTAGCTCATCTCTCTCCTTCACAAAACATCCTTGTCCTTGCCTTTCCATTCAAAGGCCTGCTGGCTATAAGGCCCACCAAACAGGGGCCTGAGGGACCAGGTCCCACCATTATTAGAAGGAACATAAGTACTCGAATTAACCTCCACCCTCGTGGGCCCCTCTAGATGAGTCCTTACTTCTACAAAGTTGCTTCTTGGTTTTTTAATTTTTAGTTGTAGATGGACACAATACCTACCTTTATTTTATTTATTTTTATGTGATGCTGAGGATCAAACCCAGTGCTTCACACCTGCTAGGCAAGCACTCCGCCACTGAGCTACAGCGACAGCCCCCAAAGTTGCTTTTAAAGTGTAAGGAGGCCACCTGATAAAGGTGACCCATCCCAGTCCTAGATGATCCTCAGTGTCTTCCTGCTGTTTGTTTATCACCAGAATCACAGGCCTAGCCAGGATCCTGTGGGATGGTCATGCGCTACAGGAACCCTGGACAGGGAGAAGGTGGGATTTCTCGAGGAAGGCACAGAGGACTGAGTGTATAGCTCAGTAATGAAGTGCTTGGTTAGTGCTTGGAGGCTTTGAGTTCCATCCCCAGCATCAGATGGTGAGCGAGGAGGAGAAGGGAAGGATGGGGGAGGAGAGAGAGGTCACACAGTGTGACTCAAAGCTGTCAGAGCTGCACACAGGCATGGGGGCAGCCAGAATCACATTTCTAATACAAAAGGTGTTTCAGGCCTTCTTGTCTACCCCCTGACTCTATTTTGGGATGAC